TTAAATTTTTCTTCATTGAAAATTAGATTATTTTATATGATCATTTCAAGAGATTTCACATAATTGCGTGCGTTTTTCACATACTATAAGGTTTTCTTATATATTTTTAAAGACGCAAAAAGTTATTGCCTTTCTCATCAAACAATATGACATTTCGACCAAGTGTGGCGCTTTTAGCAAACTTCTTAAGTGTTCCCGCTTTCTGTTATTAAACATATTTCCGAGGTAGTTCGTTGTATGCTAGTAATTCGGGAGGATATGATAGAAGTTTATTCAATATTTGTTTGGCGAAGTATGCCAATCAAGTACTCTCATATAAAAATGGCATCAGTGGCGTCTGGTTCCTAATAACTGTGGTTCCTTTTCTCTTTTCCTTGCTACTCACCATTTTGAGCGTAAAAGATTTGAACCACTTTAATATCAATAATCAGTTATTTATAAGCCACTTCGAGCTTTCGATTGTATTTAGCTTACAAAATACGTCTCAATAAGTAATGCATGTCATACGACTAACGTATTTAATAAACACAACTTGCAAAGAAAAATTGATCGATAGTTGCTTTTTACAAAACTTCTGGATTCCTCCTGCGTCGGTTTTTGCTTAGTCGAAATTTCTGATATTTCGCCAATCATCCTGTTGGCTTCTTCAGAGCTTGACTTGAAACAGTTTCATTCAAGTTCTGAAGAAGCCTCCAAGATGATTGGCGAAACATCAGCAATTTCGACTAAGCAAAAAGCAACGCAGGAGGAAACCAGAAGTTTTGTAAAAAGCAGTGCAGTAGCCTGTGGAAGTTTCTTTGAAAAATTAATCGATAGTTTGCATTAAAACACACCGTACATACCTACTTCAACCTGCATATGCTTTCTCGTTTTTCACGAGGGGGGCGGATTTTAAAGGGTCACGTGTTGCCCGCGGTGCAAATCAAACAGAGACGAAATTGGAGGTTTTCTCTTATTCCGACAAGAGGAGCTAAATGTAGAGTTGTACCTTCAACAATATCTTTTTCTACTCCCGTCTGTAAAATATCTAATTACGCACCGATCTAGAGATCTAGAAGCGTCGCTTTACCACGTCAGTTCCGTTTCCTACGAATCCGAGCCACTTCGGACATTTCCGGGATTTTACCGCAAGGGGTTTGGGAGCAATCGGATGTTTTCGAAGATATTTTCCACGCTTTGAATTTTGACGTTTGTCATTGTATTCGTGTTTTGCGAAAACGACCCAAAAACTAACGATTGTAGAAAAACTATAGTATGCAAATTTTTAACTCACCCGTTTATTAAACACTCGCTCCGCTCGTGTGAAATAAACTTGTGACTCAAATGCCGTTGTTGCATAATATACTATTATTTTCAGTATTGTTGTTAAGTGGTATCTCTCTAGTCTTTCCTCTTGGATCAACACTAAGACCGAACCAAACAGGACACTAATACTTTCCGATGATGGAGCGAAATGAAAACCGAGTTTCGTCATCTTTTTTGTTGCAAAAAAAAAAGACCACCATTATTCCAAGCGTTAAAACTGTTGTTACGCACCATTAAAACTGGGGTAATCACTTAAAGAGAAATTCATCATAAACTCAACAGCTCAAAATGGAAAACTGTTGTTGAATTCACCAAGCCAAATATGTAATAAATCGAAAATTAATTTCCCGCATTCGCTTAACCGTAAATGAATTTTGCAATTTAATAAAAAGCGATATTAAGTGCTGCGTCAATTCATTAGTACCGTTTATTAAGATTTCGGCCGTATAATTATTTTAGAAAGTTTACTGTTATTTGAATACGCGCTTGAAAAATTGCGTGAAGAATCAAACGTGTTACACTAACTTTGTTCTCAAATCCACAAAGGCGATTCTTTTTTGTACTTTCGGTTACTTGTACTTACTTGCCGCTCCAACTGCTCGACAGAAAGTTGTATAAATTATGTATAATAATTAACCATTAATATAATAATATAATTTTTAGACATTTCAACTGAATAAAATGAACTGTTTCAAAGAAAAATTTTGTATTTTATCTTAATATTTCCTTCGTGAAAAAAGGCCTGAACTCGAGTGAAGCAACTTTATATTACTCTCTAAACTTTGGTTGTAGTCATCATTTTACTCTCGTAAATAGGAGGATAAATGAAACGCAGATTAAAATAAATGAAAAACTTGTTAAGCATTAGTTGAGAGTTTAATCAAAGGATAGTAATATTGTGAGATTTATTTTTAAATCTATATTTGTGTAAAATACTTTTTGGTTCGTGTTAATCAATCATCGTCATTTCTTATTAGATTGTTAAATTGTTGAATTACCTTGCTGTACCCGCTTTTTACGGTATCTTTCTTCAGCCTCTTCTTCATCTGCTCATATTTTGTAGTTTCAATAATTCGTTAATTAATTACGTATGTCACACAATTTTAAGGAATGATTCGTTAGGTAATTTTAAGACAAAAGATTTTTTTTCTACATGGTGTTTGAAATAATGTTGATATTTTAAACAAATTGAATTTGCGGGACTTTCGATATGCGAAATTAGAATTTACTCTTTCGAAATGTCATGACAATTTGTACGTATTGTGTAAGTAAACATTTCTGATTAAAAAATAGATTTCTGTCTCATTTTTCTGCAGAAAAGGTAGAAATCACTATGAGCAAGCCGATATTTGATGATTTGAAGATATTTGAACTCGTATATGATTTTAAATGATAAAATCATTTACTATTTACCATTATTTTTTTTTAAGATTTTTTTTCAATTTCATTTAATTCATAAGCGGTACAACTACAGACGATTGGATAATTGTTATTAAAACTTCGGTACTCTTAAAATCTACCATGCAATTTTTAATGCGTTCTGCAATTCTCCGAGCGCTCGTATAGGGATTTTATCATGGTTGCCGGTTTTTCTATTACGAACGTAGAACTCTTAACACTACCTGTTCGCAAAGTCGTGCGGTTAGGCGTTTGGAGTTCGGGATATGTTTCACGGTAGATGGGTGTTGCTACAGCTATTTTGTCAAATGTGAAGATAACGTGGCAATTAAAAATACTGCAATGATTTTCCGCCTCTCACTTCTCTTACGAAAAGATTAATTTATTCGATTCATTGTCGGAAGCGACCGTCTTCAACAGGTATGAAAATAAAAAGTTTGTAGTTCTATTTGCAATACTTCTGGATTCCTCCTGCGTCGCTTATTGTTGCTAACTGAAACAGTTCAGTTAAGTTCTGAAGAAGCCAATAGGATGATTGTATGCAGTATTACAGTAGCCTAGGGAAGTATCTTTGAAAAAGGTTTGTAGTTGTTGTTTATAAACAGTTAATTAATTTTTTTTTAAATAAATAACTGCATTTATTGCAACCGGATAAGCATTCTTAAAAAAAAAAGAAAGTGAAAATGATTTTCACATTGTTCCACTTAAAATCTCATGCATCGATTATTTCAATGACAAATACCTCGAGAACGAGTGCTCAATGTGATTTCTACAAATCACACTGTTTTACATAAAAATGATAGCGACAATTTATTTTTTCCTTATAAGTGTTAACAGGTACGTACAAAAAAGTTTAAAAGAATAAAGAGCATATAATCGGTGCCCTCCACAAGTAATAGCCATACCTAGTTAAGCCAAATTGGAATTAACAATTAAACAAAGAAGAAAATCAATTTGCATCCAAAATCTTCAAATATTACTAAGAAAAAAATTAAAATTCAACATCAACAAAAATGAAAATCTTGCTGACCCGTATTTATGTGATTAGAATTAACCAAGGAATCGTTCCTTAAAGTTAAGCTACATAGATAATTAACACCCTGTATAGCGCCCATAAAAATTTGCGTTTTTGATTCAAACAATCCTATGAATTGTTCGTACATAAACTCGCAGTACCGGAAATCCATGAGGTCGTGCGCAGACTTCACAAGCCGAAACTGCCGTTGCTGAATAGATTGGATAACGAAGGTACAAGAGTTCCTTGTTTTCTAATTAAACCTTCGTTGCGATCTTTGTTTAATTTAAAAACCCTCGAATAATTTGTAAGCGTAGTGGCACTAAATTCTTTATTCTGAACCAATTACCCTCGTAATTACGCGAAATAGGTCTTACACCTGGTGGCAATCTGTCTTAAGTTTCCTATTTTTTGTATTTTTTCTAATTTTTCCGAATAAAATAACAATAATATGTTAAATGGAATAAAAATTAAGATAGAAAACAAGCAGATTTTTAAAATGTCAAAATATATGTTTATTTAAAAGAATATATTTCTACATTTTTGATAAGCTTGTAAAAAGCGCAAAAAAAATCAAAACTTTAGCTTGTATCTTTAAAATTATATCTTTTGCAAAAAATCTGATTACGCCACTGAATTCTACGTAAAATGATCTATGAGATTCTTTTAAAATAATAATAAATAATATCTTAAATGGAATAAAAATTAAGATAGAAAATAAGTATATTTTTTAAATTTTAAAATATGTGTTTATTTAAAAGAATATGTTTAAACAATTATACATATTTAAAAAGCTTCACAAAAGATCTATCTATCTACAATAGGTAAATGAAATTTTCTATTTTACCGGCTTGCCGTATTGCTCTCTAAAAATAACTGAGATCTCCACACCACCCCTGTAATAAATACGGTAGGCACAATCCATTATAAATCTTCATTTTAGTATTCTAATTTAAACAATTTCCTTATTCTCAAATTCAAATTATCACTTTACTTAACTGGACTGAATATTTTTCTTACCTGATTAATTTGTGAATTATTTATCTCACATGAGGATCCCTAATTACTTTTTTTTTATTATATTTTTAAAATTTGAACGTTGTTTCTTCAATGGTACCAAAAATAAAAAACAATAAGATATTTAGATCACACTGCTGTCATATTACCATATTTTTATTTTTTAACTCCCTCGTTAGATTTATTACTTGTGGATTTTATCAATCGTAGTGAAAAATGTCAATTATAAATTTCCTTTTTTTAACGGTATTATTTTTTGTTGCAGGGCGGTGACGGATCCAAGAGACGGTAGGAGAGTGGCGTTGAAAAAGTTACCAAACGTTTTCCATTCTTTAGTATCTGCGAAACGAGTGTTTAGGGAATTAAAAATGCTGTGTTTTTTCAAACACGAGAACGTAAGTACTTCTTCATGTGATATAATAGGTGATTCCACTAACTAAACTAAATGTAAACCGATGACCTTTTCTCCAATAGAAAATTGTTTGCTTGTGTCTCTTCACCTGTGTGTTTCAGGTACTTTCTGCGTTAGATATACTTCAGCCTCCACACTTAGACTTCTTCCAAGAAATGTATCCTTTTTTTTTTGGTTGTAGTTAAATGGGCTTTTTTCGCGACATTTTAAAACATTTTACGTCGATAAAAACTATGACCAACCACGGTCCATTATTAAACACGAATTTCGATTGTATTCGAAGAAATTAAACTTACTGTGTATTTTAACAGGCAATTCATATATACGCGGTTTGCTGCATCAGATCTACATACTGAATATTCCTGAACAACGTTTAAAAAATGCATCGAACGGCTTAAAAGGTCGAACGCGCCAGTATCATTATCGTTAAGACAACCGAAATGGTAATAACTTTTTGTCGTTTACCGTTACTAACAGTTCAATTAGCTAATTTGTTAGTATACTAATTAGCTTTTATTCTACACATTTTAAGTAGCAAATGTGTTCTGTTTGCAATATATTTGCTTTATATTATACTCGTACTTGTGGTCCATGTAAAACGTACCGCAGACTTGGGATGAATTTTTCGACAAAATTCATAAACAAGGGAAGTTTGTCACAATGTTTTTTTTTTCAAGCAGAATGATGGACAAGTGATACCTCGCTAATAAAAACCATTAATTTCCTATATCTGGTTTACAACATTATGAAGTTTTAAAATGGCAGCCTTAGGTTTGACGCAAAATTTAAAAATCGAATTAATTTCTCTTATTAACTTGTTCTAAAAATGTTCTATTTTTTCAAATAGAGGTATTTCCATAAGAAACCAATTTATTGGCCGTTCCTATACACTCTTCCTTCTGCGGTTTACCCCTCGTTTTGATTTTTCGAAAAATTATTATATATCGCGTTGTCGATTAACTATAGCCTGGACCGAATAAACTTTTCAATCATGACCGACAATAACAAAACAATAATTGTTAAAAAAATGGTCGCAGAAATCTTTTAAAATAGTCATATGCAATAAGTAAAAATAAGTGTTTATATTTAGTAACTTTTCGGTCGATTATCTATCTGATAAGTCATTGATATTTTGCAAATATACCGGTTATTCCAGTAAGAACAACGAGGTACAGTTTAAAGGAAAAGGGCCCAAAATTAAAAATAATATTAAATCCAAGAAATTATTTTCGACAGTTTTCACATGCTCAGTCGTTTTCTTCAAATATTTAGTCTCACCACTTTTAGTTTTCATTAAAAAATAGTTTTAATGACTAAGTCAGTTGTTAGTGACTAATTCTATTAACTCTTGACGCATTTAAGTAGTAAAATGTAGAAAACTATTTAAAAAATGCATAAAACCCTTTTTGACAGGCATAATTGAGTAATTATCAAGTTTGCTATGAAAACAAATGTGATTTTTATGTGACCAAACGATGCGCATCTGTCATGTCGTTATTTGATGCTTGCGAAAGTCTGTTGATTGGCTACTGTTTTCATTACTTTAACTTTGTTAAATATTTATTTCATTAAAAATGTCTTATTTAAACTCATCATAATTCAATGCTTAGAAGAAATCGACGCACTAGGAACGAAGGATAATACTAATTATTTCAATTCATATTTTACTTTTTACTTAATATAATAAAATTGGTTAGTTTCAGATATCAAGGCATTGCAAAAAAAAAACTAGAAGAAAAGGATAAAATTTTATCTCGATTGTAAATATGATTTGGTATCCTATGTAATAAATGAGGGTTTTATTTGGTTAGTTTTGGTTAGTTTCTGGATAATTAGGCGTTAATAACAACCTGTAGAGTGGAAATTTCTTCCAAAATCTATTTTTTTATCGTTAAGTTTATTTAATCATAATTAGGTTGCTATAAAGTTATTGAGATGCGGATGGCTATCTAATGACCTAAAAAAGACGTATCGTTCCATTTATTCTTTTTTCGGAAAATTCAATTGTTTGCATTTATGTCCGAAAACTGGTGGCAAGGTAAATAATGGCACAACGTACCTAGCAAGAATGATTGCCTAGGGAAAGCCCTCCCTTTTTAATGACCCTAAGTTTATTTTCTTGGCGAGATAGGACAAACAGCATTAGACAAAAAAAAATTCAATTTGCCTCATTTTTAAAACTGTACTCACTGTAACTATGAGATTTTTTTATTCATTATTATTCATTGTTATTCATTTTCTTTTCGCTGATTTAATAATTTTTTTTCAAATTTCTAGGACCGTTTTTCTAATACCGTACCTCGTTGGCCTCACCGTCACATCTGGTATATTGAAGGTTTTATGATAAACCTCGCTGATGATGCTCTAGAGCTTTTCAATGCAGACTCCTGAGATGAACTCAAATTCGTAGCACTACGTAATATCAAAGTGTTAACTTTGATAAAAGAAAATCTATGACATTTTAGGTTTGTGGGAATAAAGTATGTCCTGTTTTAAACCTCTCTAAAAAATTTAATATCCAAAGATCAGAATCAAATGAAATGTTTGAGAATATTATAGTCAAATTTGAGATGGGGCTTATAGGTAAACTTGTAGTAAAACTCAGTAAAAAACTTTTTTTTCGAAAGTGATGCGATGCAAACTCATAATGTTGTAATGCACAAAAATATAAAAAATATGTGGTCTAGATAGAAATTTATTTAATAAAATATGTTTAGTCAGTGTACAGTTGCATGTTCCATGAAGTAAAAAGTATCATAGTAGTGGCATAGTAAAAAGTGTTTTGTGTGTTTATTTTAATGTATGATGTCTATTTTTTTTATCTTTCACATTCATTGCATGCATTAGTACGCAATGCCGTTTTATCTGTAGTAGTAATAGTAGAAAAACTATTTCATTTTTGCGTTTTGAAATGGGTAGGAAGTATAGGTGCCATTTTTAATTTCGCCGCGCTAGGGTCGCGCCCCGGTTTTGTTCGCCGAAACGATAAATTACAAATTAGCGCGATAACGTTGCCGGTATTTAAATAATAAATGGCGGTATCTCGGCCGTAATAGTGCACGAACTACTTCGCAATGAATTAAAGTCGCTTAATAAGGCAATTAAATATCGCCCGCGGCGGCGGAAGTTGCGGATTAAAAAAGCGTCTTCGACGCGTCGGTCGCGCTTTGCACTCGGAAAGAGTCGACCCCCGGAGGTTGCTAGCAATTTACGACGGTGTTACGAACGGACATTTTTTGCGGCGTACGTAAATATACTGTACGACCCCCGGTAAATGTAAATATATTTTATTATTATTTTTCGAAGTAGTTGGGATAAATAAGAATATAACAACCGATGATATTTTATCATAATAATATTACAATTCTGGTGGCAAAAGCCTGTGATACTAGGGACCTATCGTCTTGTCCGTCGTTACGTGTTGCACGAAGGGTAACCTTGACTTCCGGTTAGCCTTTGAAACGATACCCCCCCCTCCCCACCCGCGCGCTGTAAAGGTGATAATAATAATAATACATTTATTGTTGTCCCAAGAATAAATTTCATGTTACAATAATTTGTATAGTACGTGGCCAACAAAACTCTTTATTTTAAACAAAAGTTTCACACGCCTGTAAGAATCAAGTTCAAGCCTAGTTATACCTATATAACTTATATGACAAAAATTCTTCAAATATAAATTCCAATCGCGCATGGTTCTCTAGGTTCACAATGCATAAACTGTGTCGGAGAAACTTATTGAGTTTACCATATGCGCAATGTCCTACGAATAGGACCTTTTGAATATTTCTTTTTGGTTTCGCGGCGCTATGAATCTGTAGTTTTGCCTTAGATTTGATGTATGTACCGTGCGTTCAATTTATCTTGATAGCATTTTAATTCGCTGTAACTTTTTTGTTTTTAGAGGTATCGAGGTAAACAAAAAAAAAACAAAACGTAGGATTAGTGGCCAATTTTTTTTCCAAGTAACTTATAAAACAAAACACTATCATTTTTCTGACAGATAAGCCTACATCATATTTTCTTAAATGAAACACCCTGTATATTATATGTGTTTAATAGAATATGTTATTCCGATTACAATGATGTATCACACTCTATATTTTAGTCCACTCGTTTTTGACAAATCGTCAAAAATAGGAAATTTTTATATAATTTCAAGGAGTGCCGTGACGGACTGCAACAACAATAATTATTTACAAATTAAAGTAGAAGAAAAACACTAAAAATGACAAAACACACTAAACTAAAAAATTCTCAAACTTTTCTAAATACCACCAATGTGACCATCATTTTCCTGAACACAATCTCATACACTAATTGTATGATGTCTTGCATTTAGCAACGTTTTTGGATTGTCCCTTAACTGATTGATTGCCTCTGAAATGATTTGCCGAAGTTCCAAAACATTATTACAAAGAGTTCTGTGCACGTGATTTTTTATGAAAAAAATCATTTAAGTTAAATCAGGACTGTTGGCTGGCCAATCCATAGTTCCGCCGGTCCCGATTCAACCCCTGGAACATTCCACGTTAAAAAAAAAATAACTTGCACAACATTGTGGGTAGGAGTCATATAATCAGCGCTGATATATTTAGGGGTAAATCTTCTATATATTGGGCTAAGAGTTGCAAATAATAATATCCAGTTAACTTTTGATCTATTTCCCATATTGCGTATTTTGTCTATTACATCAGTCCATAAAATGTTTTTCAAATTATCATTCTCATTACGTCTATTTAAACAACCTAAATAAAACTGCATCTTCCTTTGACATTGTTCTGCACTTAGTTGTTGAGTTTTTACGAGTTTATATTTATATTTTTTCAAAACTCTAGTAATAACTAACCAAAACATTATGATTCCGACATACCTTTTTAGCATTTAATACGTTACCGTTTTCTGCAAATTTGTTTGGCAGCCTTGGAAATATCTGTTTTGAAGGAGCTCGACACTCTGGATAAAGTCTAATATGTTTGTCAAAAACAAGCGGACTAAAATATAAAGTGTGTTACATCATTGTCACAAGCTATTCTGTTAAACACATATATAATATTCAGGGTGTTCCATAAGATGTAGGCTTGAATGTCAAAAAATTAATAGTTTTTATGAGGTGCAATTATCGCAATTTACGCCGTTAAAACAGTCCTTACAGAC